ATTGCATCAAAGTAATTCAGTAAAGTTCTGGGGAGCTGCAAACAATAAAGTAGATTTTAAATCTTCCGAAGAATAAAATCTACTTTATTGCTCAATGCAAGTACAGACACTCCACATAGGATTTTATAAATATAAAATCTGTGCTGGGTCTGGGTATTGAGAGGGTGAGTGTAAAAGACACTCTCGGCATACAACTGCAGCCAGCAACCCAGCTGAGGAGCCACAATCAGGGCAGAATAATGTGTCTGGGTTTCAGGCAGTTTAAAACCCAAGCATGACTCAAAACCCAGACTATCCGGGTGAATTCCAGAGAGGTGGCAACCCTTAGCCACCCTGAAACAGAAAACCTGGGGTAGCAGTCATGGCACCATCAGATGTCATTCTCTACTTGATGAGTATTGAGGAAGAGGGAGTGGGTATCTGTCAAAAAGCCCCCCACCAAAAAAAAAAATTTAATTGCTAATTTGTTAGAGGTGGGGGAAGAGGAAAATTAGCAGTAGTTCAAGTTTTGAAGGTCCACTTGAAGTTCTTAAAGATGCAGTTCTTTCGGGATATCTTAGATCCCTTCTTCAGAAGAAATAGTTCAGAAACCCACAAATGCATACAGAATTACAAGGAGAAGGAGCATACTCTACTGCAACTATAGCACAAAACCTGCAGTCACCAAATATCAATTATGATATTCCAGTTTCATATCCTGTTTCTTGCAAAGTCCTATGTCATGGTGATGTGGATAAAACATAACCTTGTAGTTGCTTTTATCTGCAATTTTTCACTGGAGGTGGACAAATAGATGTAAGAGAAGGGAAACGAAACTCAGAAAGCTAAGCATGCAAGACGTGTGCAGAAGGGAGTGACAGATGGAAAGCGAAAGGCAATATAAATAGCCACATATACTGAGTGGCTGCATACAGTGAGATGGACAGACTAGGATGTGACAGAGAAGTCTGCAAAGGTGAGAACACTGGGAAGGCTGGGCATAAAATGATTAGTGTATTACCCCTCTTTCACACGGGTGGTATTTTCTGCTGCTTGTAAATGCATGTTTTTTTTATTTTGAAATTCCAACAGTTTTATTTTGAAATTCCAACACTCCTGGCACAGAGATCACTTGCATTTGTACATTGCGTTTATCTGCGATTACAGGCGTTTACGTGTGTTTACATGCGGCTGCATTTAGCTGCTGTAGTAAATTCTTGCTTTTTCTATAGCAACTGTTTACTTTTTTTTTTTTTGTACTGCGTTCCTGTACAGGTAGCTGCGGTACATTGCTCCTGGACGCTGTCAACTTTATTTTTCCTAAATGCATAAAAGCATATATGTAAACATTGCTTAACACAGTGTGTGAATGGAGCCATAGGGATGCATTGTCTGCATTTAGCTGCGGTAAATAAGTTCCGATAACTGCTGCTAAAAGTGAATTCTAATTCGCCTGTGTGAAAGGGACCTAAAACATACAATGAGCATGGGACTTCATATTTAAATTGCCTGGTTACAGTTGAACCAAGGATAAAAAAGACACATTTCTTTTTTTTTTTTTGTTTAGAGAAAGGGCTTTTTTACCCTAGCAGTGCCCTCTGAAAAGTGATCTGAGGTGGTGTTTGAAAAGTGGCATTATGACACCTCCTCACCGCCTGTTTTAACTCCTAAAACCTGTACAACCAAGTCAGTTGCAATACGCCCAGTTGCACAGCTGAACATGACAGGGTGATTATTTTTGCTTTGGGGTATTTGTGCTGAGATAGGCATCTGGTTTTGTTAGCAGCTTTTTGATAAATTCCCCATGGAACAACAAACTGTTTTAGCACTGCTTCTTTTACCAGGTATAGCTATTTTTACTATAACTGATCACTAAAACGTAACTAATTTGTGATAGAAATCTCTGGATTGAAGCTGAACATTAACTAGTGCCAAACTGCAGTACATATTTATACGTCAGCTGTTCCACAGCTTATACCAGGCCAATGCAGGCATCATCGCATGTTTTTTTTTTATCTGCAGGCGATTCTCTTTTTTTTTAAAAGCAATTAGAGTGGCTAATTATCCACTGGATCTCTTTTATAAACAGTGGGAGGGGTCACACCCCCCCCCCTGCGTCTCTCTGGTTCCACCGGTAGCCCAGCAGAGAAGCTGGCAGATCCGCTGATTTTCCATAGAGCTGAACGTCCCTGATCATCTCTATGGTATTAGACACCGGAAGCGACGAGTATTTTGAAAATACTCCCCACTTTCCCCAGCATGTAAACAAGTAATTTTTGACTTGTAAAAGGCATCGGATCACACTGATCTTTGTGTAAGGCAGAGGAGAGATCTGGGGTCCCAGATCTTTCCATAAAGAGGACCTGTCACTGCTTATTGTTATCACAAGGGATGTTTACATCCCTGTGATAACAATAAAAATGATTTAAAAAAAATTAGAGAGTGTAAAAATTAAAAAAAATCCAATAAAAAAAAAAAAAAATTAAAGCGCCCCCATCCCACCATGCTTGCACGCAAAGCAAACGCATACGTCAGTCCTGCGTCTTTGTATAAACGGCGATTGCACCACACAGGTGAGGTATCATGGCGAATGTCAGAGCAAGAGCAATAATTTTAGCACCAGACCTCCTGTGTAACTCTAAAATGGTAACCTGTAAAGGCTTTTAAAGTTTCGCGTGTGGAGATTTTTAAATACCATTCCAAGAGCGTGCGTAATTTTAAAGTGTGACAAGTTAGGTATCTGTTTACTTGATGTAACATCATCTTTTATATTTTGCCAATCAATTGGGTATTAAATTGTGTTTTTGTGCATTAAAATCTATTAAAGTGTATTTTTTTTAAACAAAATTGCACTTATAAAAAATGTTAGTGTGCGTGGAGACTTAAAGTGTTTGTAAAGGCTCAAGGTTTTTTACCTGCATGCAGGCTCCATGTGCACGGGACACTTCTGAACGATGGAAACTGACTGCTGGAAAACGTAGGTTAAAAAACGTCTGTTTAGCTGCGTTTGCATACCGCATTTATGCACGTTTGCGCTTAAAAGCGTTTTTTAAAGATAACCTCAGGAGACCTTCTAAAATTCCCAGAATGCACTGAAAAACAGTAAAAAACTAACTATTTCAGACATTTTGAGAGAAATAAAGAGAGCAGAAGCAGATAGAGCAGTATTTGTTGAGATTAGCTGTCTTCTTTTTTTTGTGGTGTTTGGATGTGTTCCAGCTCATTTCTGTGCATTAATTATTGCAGCAGTGTCTAACATATTTTCTTTCATGCGAAACCTCAAAGTATGGTGTACCAGGTCCATTTGAGTACCGGGAAAACACTTTGCATGCATTTTTCATGATGAAAAAAGGCTGTCAGGAAAGGCCTGTCTATAGTGCAGGTGAAGTTCCACAGCGCACAAATATGCGCATGTGCACATTTCTTACACGCTGAACAGATGTGCGGGTGCTCGGACATAGGCGCACTCACGCATACAGGCGCGGGCCTTTCACTAATGCTGGCGCCAAATGGGCTATTTAAACTGGCTGCAGTAGATGTCCCATTGTCGTATAGTCTGATCCCTGCTTGTGTGATTCCTGTGATTGCCTCCTGATACCGAACCAGCTTGTTCTTGATCTCTGCTTGATTGCTTCCTGCCCTGACCTCTGGCTTGCCTTGGATTTACCTTTCTGTCTCCGCTCCTCTCTGATTGATATTCCGCTGCTGACCTGGCCTGTGACCCGACTACTCTTCTGCTCTCGGGTATCCATCCATCCCGCACGGCTGCATCAGAATCCTGCTTCCTGCCTCCAGCCTGCAGCTCATCTGCTTACCAGCTATTACTGGACTGATCAAAGGCACACATACCCCACCGTGCCCCTGCGGCCTCTGTCTCACCATCAGCGGTCCTTGAGCCAGAGTTGAACGGGAGGCCTGCCTCTTCACGTCAGGCTCACTATCCAGGTACGTGGACAGCATCTAGAAATGTAAGAGTTAAAAAAAATTTAAGCCGCAAACGCTTATAAATGCGTTTAGCCGCATTTACAAGCGTTTGGCATTTAAAACGCTGATAAATTCTACTCCTGAATGCAAGTTTTCTGCGTTCAAAAAAAACGACTGTAAACCAGGGGCGGGCGGACTGACAACTCATGGGGCCCCCGGGCAATAGGGGATCATGGGGCCCCTGTGTCCTTGCTCAAACTCAAAAAAGCCTATGGGAAAGGTACCAGGGGCATCTCATGGGGCCCCCTACTGGCTCCGGGCCCTCGGGCAGTGCCCGAGTTTCCAAATGGTCAGTCCGCCCCTGCTGTAAACTCAACTGCCTGTAAACGACATAGTGTACATGGGCACATAGGAAAACAATAGGGAGAGTTCAGGGGCTGCTGAAAAAAACACTGAACAGCTCCTAAACGTGAGTTTATCAGCTGTAGTGTACATGAGCCCTCACCCTCTGCTTTTCACCGTTGATCCCCAGAGGTTTTTGGGAAGAAACCGAGGGCCCCCCTTCTATAGTAGGAGGTTTCCGCAGTATGAAATTCCTGCCACAAATAGTTTGTGAGACTCGTTGGATGAGTGTGATATTAGCATATGTAAGGATGAAATATCAATATAGGGATCAGTCAATATATTTTTGATATGGTAAAACATCCATCAACACTGTGTGGTATATATCTCATATTGAAATTAGATAACAAGTTACATTATTACAGTATATAGTATTTTATATTGCATCAAAGTAATTCAGCAAAGTTCTGGAGAGCTGCAAACAATAAAGTAGATTTTAAATCTTCCGAAGAATAAAATCTACTTTATTGTTCAATGCAAGTACAGACACTCCACATAGCATTTTATAAATATAAAATCTATTTAAAAAATTGAAATAAATGTAATATAATTCAGCATTTCAAAGTTTTAAATGTGTATAAATTAGGTCAATATAAGGTAAAAGTTACTAAATTAACTGCTTCCTGGCTGCCCTATAGCAGAAATACTGCTACAGGGCGGCACGTGATTTTGCATTTCAGGGTAGGGGGCATTTCCATTCGCAGCCGCAGCTGTCAATCACCAGGTCCTGGACGGTAATTACTCGCCGACACCCAGTGATTTCCAAAGATCTCCGACGGGGAGGAGAACTGTTTTGTTTACTAACAGTTTTTCCTGTCAGCTCTGGCAGACTGCTCTGGATGGCTGTGCACAGCACAGCCATCCAGAGCAGTGTGATTACAGTGAAGCACACAGACACCGCCCCTTAGTAAAACCCTCCCTGCACACAGTTAACCCTTTGATCGCCCCTCATGTTAACCCCTTCCTGCCCAGTGCCATTAGTGCAGTGTAGGTGCTTTATTTTAGCACCAATCACTGTATTGGTGTCACTGGGGATGTCAGTGACACCAAGTCAGTTCCCCCCAGTGTCAGAATGTCCACCACAGTCCGCAATAATTCGCTGAATGACACCATTACTAGTAAAAAAAAAAAAAAAAAAATGGCAGTATATATACCGCCATTTGATAACGCTATAACTTTCACGTAAACCAATTAATTTACATGTATTAGGATTTTTTTTTTTAGCAAAGGCATGTAGCAGAATACATTTTGGCCTAAATTTATGACGAAATTAGATTTTTTTTACTGGACATATTTAATAGCAAACAGTCAAAAATATAATTTTTTTCTCATATTGTCGGTCTTTTTTTTTTATGTCACCAAAAATAAAAATTGCACAGGTGATCAAATACCACCGAAAAGAAAGCTCAATTTGTGGGAAAAAAGGATGTAAATTTAATTTGGGTACAGCGTTACATGTCAGCGCAATTGTCAGTTAAAGTAACGCAGTGCCGTAACGCAAAAAACAGCCTGGTCAGGAAGGGGGGTAAATCCTCAGGAGGGCAAGTGGTTAAACATAAAATGCGGATAGCATAAAGTAAATAACAAACCTAAAGTAATCCTATGCTCAGACAATGCACAGTAAAGCATTTACAAATACTGATCGAACAGTTAAAGTACTTTCAAACAAGCCTTCATTCTTTTCTGTAGCTCTAGGCATTGTGGAGAAACTTATCTTCAACATTCAAAAGAGAGGCATTGAAATCTTTTCCGATTACTTCTATTACACTAGAATCTTGACAGTCTGCCACTAATGTTAAACATTTAAAGTTTCAAACTTGTATAAATGAAGTCAACACAAGGCAAAAATATTTAATTGTGATAAAATGTTAAAATAACTTGGCACCTCCTATGGACAGTTCTCTCTGTGCAAAAACTGCTATGGGCATCCAGTCATTCTGCCTAGTGTCTTCAGGAGTACGGACATGATTTTGCGCTTAGACTTGTGGTCCTATAGCTTTTTCTTTTTTTTCTTGGGATTTTTTTTCTTTTCCTGCAGAGATCTTCTATCAACAGTCAGCCTCGGTGGCGGGCTGGATAATCTAGATCCAGTGGTCACCCCAGTCTGACCAGCGAGCGCGCGCAGTCCGTCCGTTAGCTCAGCATTCGGTAGGCTGCGACATGCCCCATCCTGGACCGGGGTGGGCCAGCAAGTTAAATGTCTCGCATTATAGTCTTTGTCACAGTGTTACCATGACCAACTGATCCCCTACTTCAGTGAAGAGGAAGATCTGTCATGGGAGATGATCAACACGTTGTACAAACAACTAAAAACACACCTAAAGGTGGTAACAAGAGAACATGCTGACTTGCTGTAGAGTAATGTTCTCCCTCTTCTATGAACCAAGGGAGAAAAGAAAGGTGAGTAGACTTCAGCTAGAGACCCAAATACATTTCAGAGCTCAGTCTTTCTTCAGGGGTGAGCGGAAGGGACGGAATGGCTAGGAAACATTCTATAGAGTACAACAGACAACAATAAGACTTTGCAATTATATAATTTGAAACAAAATTAAAGACATATGTCCATATTACATACCATCCAATTTCTTTAAATGGATTTCCTTGCCACAGTTACAAAAGACAGAGAAATCTCCCGTTAATGTGTCCACCATCAACACCTCAAGGCGACCCAGGCTGGATGGAAGCATAATGTGGGAAAAGCATGGGGACCTCCCCCAAAAAAATACATTTTGCACACTGGGGTCACCCAGAGACAACAGAACCAGGTTAGAGGGTATATAGCCAAGAAAAGATCTATGAGGAGAAAAAAAATCATTTACTAAACCATATGCATTTCTCATCAGAGAGAGAGGTATATGTTGAGAATATATTAACTAATACTGGGCAATGAATATTCATATACAGACAGAAGGGCATGGGATCTTCTGTCAGTAAGAATTTCTCACCCAGTGTGACAAATTTCTTTTTTGGGGTCTCCCCACATTATGCTTCTATCCAGCCTTGAGGTGTGGATGGTGGACACATTAAGAGGAGATTTCCCTGTCTTTTGTAACTATGGTGAGTAAATCCATTTAAAGAAATTGGATGGTATGTAATATGACATATGTCTTTAATTTTATTGTTTCAAATGATATAATTGCAAAGTCTTATTATCTATTGTACTCTATAGAATGTTTTTTGGCCATCCCTTCTGTTAGCTCACCCCTGGAGAAAGGCTGAGCTCTGAAACACATTGGGTCTCTAGCTGAAGTCTACTCTCCTTTCTTTTCTCCCTTGGTTCATAGAAGAGGGAGAACATACTCTACAGCAAGTCAGCATGTTCTCTTGTTACCACCTTTTATGTGGGATTTTAGTTATTTGTACAACGTGTTGATCTAATAATGTTTTAACCTTTTGTAATGAAAAATTTATTGCATTTATACAATTTTGTGGATGTTGCCTTAAAAGTCCCAATATATCCTAAAGGGGAACAAAGACAAAATATTCTGTACTCCTGTAGGTGAGTAACAAAAAAAAATATTTTTTTTTTCATTCTCTGCACTGTCACAAAAATGTGTTGCCTGTTACAATATACCTTTACAAATTCTAAAAGGTAACATCTTAAATATCTAATATACTTTAAACTCACCCTATATTTAGCCCTGTCCCCTGCAGACTCACCACTCTGTGACCTAGCTCCATTTCTCTTCTGGGTTGAATGATGCCCAGTGCAATTCAATCCTCTTCCTATGAGTTTAGTATGACATAGACACACCCACTGTGGGTGTGTCCCCAAGCTGCCCTGAACCCGCAGGAAATGGTGCTAGTGTCATCACGTGGTGCCATTCTCTGCAGCTTTCAGATCTGCCAATCACCAAGATACCTGTGATATCACATGACCCGCCAGAAGAATGCAAGTTTTTAGGTATATACTATATACCAGGGGTGTCAATCCCCATTTCGTCGTGGGCCACTACTGCATTCTAGTTGCCCTCAAAGGGTCAGTTGTATCTGTAAAACTATATAAATGTACCTACTTGTTATCATATTAAATAATTGCCTCTGCATTTGATTACTAGTTTTAGTAACAATTAAAACTGTAAAGGGCAGGTGCAGACCTGGTTGGAGACTGCTCAGACAGAACATGGTTCTGCCTGAGCAGTCTCCAATAAAATTCTTGTGGATGATAGCGGTTTGCGACTCTCCTTTTCAACTGGCATAGAATTGCATTATTCTCATAATTATTAGGCAAATGTCCAGAGCACACCCCCCCCCCCGCCTTTAGATCAGATGTCAAGAGCCCCTCCATCATCAGAAGTTGTGTCCCCCACCCTCCCCTTCAATTGTCATGTGATTTTGTTTCGCAAACTCGCAGCAGTGTTAACCAGGAATTGGTGTGTGTCTATAAAGGAGGCTCCACTATACATTGGTCACAGATAATCCAGACGTTAATGTGAAACAGTGCATGGCTGATGTTATTTATCTAAAGATGAATTGCACTGTTTACAGATTACCGCTTTTTTTTTTGTGTGATCATAAAGCAAAATCCATATGAAGCGCTACATTATTTTTTTCTCCTTGTGTTTCAGAGTAGCACGAAAAGATCTTGATTGACTAACAAAGAACTAAATTTACAATTGTAAATCCTTGCCTGCGTGTAGCCTGCTCCTATAGTGGTCATCTCTAATCTATCCACTGAATAAATCTTTCATTACATTGATCATGAACCACCCAGATGCATGCAAGCCGACCTTTTTTTTACCAACCATAACAAATCCACTTACTCCAAACAGAAGATATCTGCATAGTCCAGCAACAGGACAATTCTATTGTCTTACAACAGGAAGCCTATACCAGGTGACTGCACCAATTATCCCACTCTCTACAGATATGCAACTTTTATTACAAAAAAGGGATATATTTTTAGTTTTTCAACCAGGATTGTTTTCTCAACTGCAGATCAACCACAACACAGAGCAAACAAATAAAACCCAAAATAATAATCCAAAACCAAACTACGAGCCACTTGCACAGAATAATGATCCTTTGCCTCCTGCCACTGAGGAAAACAAGATTCCACTCAACAAGAATGAATCTAACCTCATCCATGAAATAAATTCATCTGCACAAGGTAATAGTACATCTTCTACAGAACTTCAGAGTCATAATCTCCTGCCAATGGGAAGAAGGAAGAAGAAGTAAATTTAAAGAGCAATCAATGCCAACCTATACAAAGTAATCATCTTACAACTCTTGCTGATCAAGAGAAGCTCCCACACATCAAAAGTGAAACATGCCTTGCCCGTGAAGTCAATTTATCTGTGAATGCTAGCAGTACATCTTCTACATGCACACAGAGTAAAGGTGATAAAACCAAACAGAAGAAAAGAAAAGCAAGCAAGCTTAAGAAAAAGTCTGATAAGTCTAACTTTCCCTCACAAAAAACACTTTCAACAAAGTCAACGAAAAGTTCAGCACCATGCAAAGAGGATAAGCTTACTGTTTCTTCCAAGAAAAATTGCTTTGTAGATGACAAGACCATTTTTCCATTATTCTTAAATGTCAAAAGAAATTCAACAACTCCTACCAAATTGAGCAGACACAGAACTTCTTCCCATACAATCCATGTGTAAATCCCAAAAAGAAATCCTATATATATTATAGCAGTACTCTTCCAACCAGGATCAGGCAAATTGAACCTTTCCAAATTGAGCTGTTACTTATACAGGGAAAACTTTTCTTCAATCGGAAAAAAAGCCCCAGAAACTCAAGAATGGCAGAAGGAATTGCATTACGAGCTGAGAATAAATTATATCCAAATTTTTGATAGTGAGTATGATGCAATGCTTGCTCCGCTATATAATATTAAGCCTAAAAATAAAAAAGAAAGAAAGTTGTACAGTATATGTGACTATGAAGGTCATCCTATGTGGAGATTCCTTACACCTTTCAACCGCATTTCACGTCTTAAAAACTCCTATCACCATCAGAAGTAATTTGCATGGGCCAACTTATGTAAGAATTGCAGACTGTCATTCACCGTACATGATATCATTCACAAAGAACCTTAATGAGCTCATGCCGATGTCAAAGCTAAGGACCTTTCTAAATGCTGGACATGGA